TAATGTGAAAAGTATGACCACATTGGAACATTGCATGTGAGTTTATAATTTCCCTTTTGCAAGCCAAACAAGGTTCAGCTCTCTGGGGGGTTCAGAGAAAAGATCAGGGCTACTCTATGATTCAAATTTATTAGAAGCAATGCGATTGATTCTCAGGATGCCATTAAGGTGAAAAAAGAGTTTATGTCAGTCTATTTATACTTCATGATAAGGGTTGAATTGATAAGCCAGGCAAAAAAATAAGGTAAGTATACTGTATCATATGATAATCGTGAAGATTCTTCTTACTACCAACCAATAGAAGCAGAATCTACTTGCTAATCATGTGATAGGCATGAAGTTTCTCTTTTTTATTTGTGATCAGTCCTTATTGCATCATCGAAAAAAAATAAAGTTTCTCCTGTGTCATATGATAATTGTGAAGACCCTTCACACTTGCAACCAATAGAAGCAGTTTAATAATTCAATGACGTCTAGTATATTCTGCAGAATTGCATGGCTTAATGATTTTTTTTATGATATAAATTGATGTGGTAAATGCCATATATCAAAAAATTTGCACGAACAGGTATTTAATACACATTTGATGGTTAATAAAGTGAATGCTATAAACATTTTTATTTATTTTCCGATATAATTGCACGCATGCACCACCTGTATATGTAAAAAAAATAAAGCTCGACTAATTTTTGTCTATTATATAATATTATTACATGTAACTACGCCTGCAAACCATTTTTTCACTCTTATTAATGATACTTATTTCAGTATTAATTAAAATAAACAACTATCTAGAAAGAAATGTACAACCCACAATTGAAAATAAGATATTTAATCTGGTGTTCTATTCATATTCAAAGTGAGACTATTTTCCATTGTAGTTCGACGACGCTTTCTCAACATATTACTTTGATACAATTCTTTCACTGACTTTTCGGTTTGTAGTAATTTTATTTGCATAGAATTATTGTATATTAAACAAACAATTCATGGGTTAATTATAACAGTAAGATAAAAATAACATACATTAAGTTCCTTTAGTATACAATATATGTCTTCAAAAAGCCCACAATCGTCTTCTTAGGACGATAATATACAGTGGTCAAGTAGGCTAAATCTATACAAATCTCTGAACCAGTTCATTGCGTAAAAGTTCAGTTCAAACCCTGTGTTGAATGAACTGTATCAATTAGTAAGCCAGATAAACGAGAACTATATATTAGGTTTATGTGAATATTAACATACCCACTTGGATCCATCCATAGACTACCAAATTTTTTCTTTAGTTGTTATCTACATGTCAGCACCCTTTCAATGCATTATTAAGAGAGTCTCACATCATAATACTAAGTTTCACTTTATCTAAATATTGTTTTTTACGGAATGAAGAAGAAATGCCTAGTGATGTCATACTATCAGACACTTCGCCGAAAAGAGCTTCAAATTTATTTGGGTATTTTTTAGCGTTCTCTTCATGTTGACTTTTCATCCTAAACATGCTCTCTGGAAAGGATTCGAGTTTTCATTCCTTGCATTTTCGTGCTATATACCTGAATTTCGCCCCTATACATAAAAAATATTTTAAATTTTTTCTATTATCCTGTTATGAGATAAATACACCATAACTTACCATGCATCTTTAACTATATTTAGTTGAAGAATAGAGCGAAAAATTGGGAAGGTGAAAATCATTTTCAATTCTTCCTCGGTCATAGAGTCATTAAACGAATACATATTCTCTTTTCTTTATTATAGAAAAAAGTAAAACATCCAGTCAAACAATTTTAGAGAATATTGCACAGACACTTATAACAAACCAATACTTACATGAATTGAATGTTCGTATGAAACTTCTTTATATCCTTTATTTGATGACTTTCTTCACAGTTCTTATTGAAATATTCTTGAAGATAATCCAGTGCTGACTTTGGATTTCAAGAAATAGTATTCGAAAAGTCTTGTGATAATTCTTGAATATCTCTCTCTGAAAATTTCTTGCATCCACTCAGACTCTCTCGAGTTAGATCCAATATACCCCAATATGCTGGTCTAATAGACGATAAATAAGGTATAAGTACAAAGATCAGATTGTTATCATATGTTAAATCAGTGAAAACTTACGTAGTAACTCGACGGCACTTTGGGATACTTTTTTGATATTTTTTAAACATGGTTAATAAGTCACCACCACTTGACAGTTTGTATTCAGATATATTTTCAGATGGTTTTGAGATCAGTAACCTCGTTTTATTTATTAACTTACTTTTATCAATGCTTTCTATAAGGGAGTCTTCGTTTTTTTCATCAAACAATATACTGCTACATTCTTCCTCTACCTCACAATCTTTCCTTTTCTTTAATATTTTGTCTTGAATGTATACAAAAAAATGAATTCATAAAAAAAAACGTAGTTAGATATATTGAATTATTGATTAAAAGTGAATGTCCACTTTTTTTGAAGAGAAACTTATATCCGCACCTTTTCATCACCACTTTGGTTGCCTAATTCATCCTGTTCTTCCTGGAGAAATCTTCCTTCCTCTTGATCATTTGCATTTCGTGTGAGTCCATCATTCGAATTACGCCTTTTTCTTGTCAGTATTTGAACATGAGGCTCATTTTCAAAAATTTTCAGCTGTCTGATAAGTGTAGTCCATACAGCTTGATCTCAAACGAGTGCTGTTCTTATAGCCTCATTATGTTGCTCAGTCTATCAAGGAATGAAGAAAAGAAGTAAAATACTGTACATGTATTTTTGTATATTTCATTATAACAAATAGATCTAGATTACCATTAGAATATCACGTTCGAAAATCAGTTCTTGCTTCCTGTTATTTTTCTTTAAATCTTTGGTCCATTCCTAGGCAATAGATTAAAAATTAGATGCACTATGTCAGAATTATTTGAGGGAGAATGTCGAACTAAGAGTTCATCACCGATTGACCAAGAGTGTACAGCTTTGCAGGAACCAAGAGTTCATAACTAAACAACCAAGAGTTGTTCAGCTTCTGCCAAAGTTAGAGTAGGTACGAACTAAGAGTTCATCACTGATCGATTAAGAGTGTACGGCTTGACCATACTCTAACCTCCTCCCTTTTTACTGTTTTTTTTCGTAAATATACCTTCTAGTTGACGATTATAGCCTTTACTTTTTCTCTACACATTGCATCAGAGCCATCTTTTGAAATTCATTTGAGATCTTTATTGATCGAATCGAGTGCTTGCTTGAGCGTAAGCTGTGGATTATTTCCTTTGTAATGATTTAAGACATTCTCGCATGTCCATTCATTGACTTTTTTTTCAAAAAATCCATATTGCATTAAAGAAAAGGAGAATTTTAAAATCACAGAATTTATAATTAACGGTCACATGATAGCCAGAAATGCGACGCGTTAACTGGCATGTGATGTGAGAGATACAACTGCAGATATGCAAAGTGGAGATCACGCCTACACATTTATATCTTCCTTTCTGCGCATAATATATAAGCCACATACGTGATTTGAAAAAGAAATGATACTCCAGAACTATGCGAATATTCTTCTAGGCGGTTACCGGAGAGATAATAGGGCTCATCATTGGTGAGGTTTTTCTTTCATATCTTCCATCATGATAGTAATAACCTCTATCACGTTCATCATATTCATTATATCCACTGTATTCATTATATCCATCATCATCCGAATCATCTGGCATCATTTACTTTAAGCAAATATAACTATCACGATTACAGTCACTATCATTATCTGTCTTAACTGATTGTGAAACAACTTCTTCATTTGTTTCTTTCACCAGTGCAGAATCAAAATACACACAATCCTTCGCACAATCTTCCAAGAGCATTTTGTAGTAATTATCCTCAGCTTCGAGCGAATTGCTTAGGCTGACTTCTTTGAAATCATCAGAAGAATTAGAATCATGGGTTAAAGGGATAGGTGCTGTTGATTCGCTTACCTTCGCTGAAACAAAGGGATTTGCTCAAACCTCTGACGTATCAGTTTGACTGGAAGAATCATCGTTAATAAAATTGTCCTGATCTTCACTGAAATCTGTACTGGGCTTATTTGAGAAATGATCCATAATCTTTTGGATTTCATCATTAGTAAACTTTGATATTTCATTCGCACT